GGAGACTGGGTTGATGTTCTTTCAATATTCTTTCTAATTCAAAATTATTTAATCAATAATTATTTTCTCTATATAATATTTTTTGGTTCTTTTGTGCAAACTTGTATGTCAGTAGCTGAAAAATTATGTAATAATTGGCACAAATAACTAAAATACAGTAATGATCCACTGCTCCATCTACTGTTGAACAGTGACATGAATGACACTCCAGAATAAAATTGCATTTAGGAAATAATAACAAAATGGAATTTACAACAAAAAAACCCTATTGTTTCTGTGGTTAGAGAACAAACATCTTTTCCTAGCAGAGTATTCTGAGTAGGACTTTAATTCAGAGTAGAAAAACAAAGAGGAACTTTCCATCTTCTTTTTCACCTTACAGAAGGTGCTGAGAAACTGCTTTTGTTCATGTTAATGGGAAAAAGTTAGAAAAAAGACAATCTAGTATTACTGAGCTGACTCATGTCATACAGGGCACTGTATATCACTGGCGAAAATGTAAGTTATTGCTGTGAAAAAAAATGTGCAATGGTTTGTAAGTTCTACCTTTATTCCTGTAGCACTAAATGAAAGATGAGGAAGGCCTAAGCAGTCGTGGGAGGATGAACTATGGAAAAATGGCATGTATGTGAAATGATGTGTTTTATAGTCTTTGCAGAACAACAGGACTTGATTATTTTGTCAGCTCACTGGTAATCTCTCATTTGTAGTGTGCTCTTCCTGCAGCCCAGTCTTCCGAGGAACTACTGATTATAGCTTTTATCACCCTTAGGATGCTAGCAAGCTGCTTCTCATCATCAGTGGTGCATTTGATTTGACTTGTTCATTTTTACAAACAAATTATTATTCACATATCACAATGAAGGGTGATTATTTTCAAAGTTTAGGCAGTTATGTTTCCATGCTGAGCTGCAGCAAAAGCCTGAATGTCAATTAGAAAAATTAGCTGTTTCTTAAGGAACCTCACAGCTTGCAATTTACTCCTTTCATTTCACCCCCTATCTTGTAAACTGATAATTTTTCAAATAACTTTCTTCAGATACATCTTTATTGTCTTCAAAAGATATATAAACATGTAACTATTTATAAAATAGACTTATTTTATAAATAGTTACATGCTTATATATCTTTTGAGCAGAAGTTTTTGTGCAACAAATAAAAGTAACGCTCCACTGGTTTCTTAGGTACTGCAGACAGTATTAAAAATCCCCTGTAAAACTCTGGAACTTTATTGGAAAATGGAAGGCAATTTTCTATAGCTCTATTTAATGGCTAAGACATTACTAAAATGAAGACTCTTGGACTGTTGTAGTTGGAAAAGCTACTTTACTCTTAAACCTGGAATAGATCTCAGAGCTCTGCCCTCAGGATGTCACAGACCTGGTGTCTCGGTCTTTAGGGAAAAGCCATCACTTTTGGGTAGAATATCTACTTCCAATGATCTGGAGAACAAAGATTTTCAGTATTTTTCCTGAGATTTCTAGAAGAGACAAGTAGTGTAGGGTGTTGAAAAATACCTGAAGGGAAATGATAGTATTAGATACTATTTAAAATTTAAGTTCATTTAGAAAACCTGTCCTTCACACTAACAAACTACTTTTTTATTTTGCATTTAGAATACTGAGTATATATATAACTTACATTGCTGGTGCTTAGAAAAAAAAATAAAAATATATATATGCACACACTATTTTTTCCTCCGTTTAACGTAATGCTTTTAAGATGCAAGAAATCTACTGAAAAAAAGAGCATGCTTTCACTTTGGAGAGTGAAAAATTGAGATACACTAAGGAATTGGCCTTCAAACTAGACTTTGAACGCTTCTTCTGGGCAGTCTCTGCATTTTTTATGTCATAGCTGTCATCTATTTCAGAATCATACATAAGTTATGCATTCATTCAAAAAGCTAAAGCAGCACCTATTTAAGATTAATAAAGATTACTATTTCCTATTTTTAATTATACTAAATGGTTCTGTAATTTATACTGAAATGATGGATTGAAAGCAACTACAATTGCATGCAAACTAGCAAAACTAGCAAATTTGGGCCAGCAGTTCATCCATGTTTTGGCTAAGGACAATGGCTAACAGCACATACCTTTTCTTATAACACGTTACACAAACCTTAGTTCAATATGAATTTTATCCAATATATCTTGAAAGAATATAATTAAATTGTTCTTCTTAGGCTCACTGATAGTTTTTGGACAGAACACTTCAAATGGTTGATTTCTGTTACTTTTACTGTTTGTATTTACCAAGGTCTTTCTGCTCTTGCTCACATGAGTAGCATGAGACAATATGGGCTCCTGTCAAATGCTGCAAACTTCTGTTCCAGCCAGGGATGTCTCTAGGCAACAGCTGCTATGTGTAAGATAAAACTTGTATGGAGGCATAGGAGGGATATTGCTGCTTCAGAGGGCTCTGACGTCACACTGCAGTTGTTATGGGAAGAGCCAGGTGGTGGCTCCCAGGAGCAATGGGATACATCTTTTGCTTTAGTGAAGTGTGGTCTTCCTAGGCCTATTTCTGATATTAAATATTTCAGTAGTATTTCCTGCTTGGAGACAAACATATGAACATCCCACTGTTCCATATCCATCTTACATCTAATTTTTCTTAATTACCAGAACATCTGCAATCATGGCACCTAAGCACCCAGTAAATGTTGTGCTCCAGATGGACCCATTTTACTCGTGCTAAAACAAGTGTGTGACACTGCATATGAAGTTAAAACCATATTGCATGAGTAATGGTTGTAATAATATACCCAGTGGCTTGTTGTGCATTTGATGTTATGTAATAGGCCTGGTCCTTTACTTTTTAGGACTCTTGAGATGCCAGCTGCATTAATGGGAATGCAGAATCAGGACAAATTTAGGCATGATGTAAACATATGCAAATCCCACTGAAATCTCTGTTCCAAACCCAGTGTTAGTGCAATTGTGGTTTGAAAATTATGTTGGGTGCCAGTGACCAACAACCCACCCTGCACTGATTTGGTATGCAGTTACTGGGAAGAACAAACCCCAAAAGATAAGTAAACAAACTTCTTTTAAGTAGGTTTCAAATCGTTGCAGTACTCAGCTGTCATAATTAGATTACCTACTGAAATAAAAAGAACTGCACTTGCTTAAACCAAATGAGGATCTGGTCCATGGTGTCAGCTGTAGGATAAGTTCATAGGTTAGACCCTATCATGGGGTAATGATATACACTGATCTGAAGTCCAATCTTCAGACATCAGATAAAGAACTTTAAGGCACTCTTTAATGGCTGTATAAACACAGAGGACCCTACTTTATCTCATATCCCCCATCTAGATCATTTATATGGCTTCAGTTCCCATACTGCCTACATGCCATACTACAGAAGAGATTAAAAATTCAAAGCTGATTCTTTTCTTGCAATGCATCATCAACACTCTTTTTCTGATCATCTTAGCCTCTGTGTAATTTATCCCATGTTTATCCTCACATCATCAAGCTCTGTACGTGTGTGTGGGGATCTGTCTTACTTTAATTAAATACAGAGACTGGGCACACTCCTGAAGTTATTACTTAGATATAACTCCCAGTAGGGACTACAAACTAAACAACCATAAGCCTGTTTCAGTAACCTTTACATTTAAAATACTAAAATTTATTCATATATTTGTGCTATTTGGTTTTGGTTTTTATTTTCAATAATGGAATGAAATAGATTTATGCTAAAATTTGCATGCATCATTGAAGTCACAGTCTTCTTTTTAAATATTTTTTTATTTCCATACCATCATTTAAGTATCACTGTTTTTGAAAAAGGGTTTTGAGTTACATTTTCCAGTGTTAGATTGTACCTCACAACAACAATATTATATTTTTTGAGTTTTTCTAAAAATGAAAAAAATGAACTTCTGCTTTGTTAAAGTCTGTGCCTGATATTTTTCTTTTAATAGATGCAGCTCCTACAGTCAGTGAAGCAAGATGTGCCTTTATATTAGATTGGGTAGGGCTTTTAAAAAATGATCTTATTAACACTGGTAAAGAATTCAGTGGTAAGCTTTTTCCAGAAGATCGTGGCTGTTCCAAAAAAGCATATAGTTCAGAATGATTGCATAGCCTTGTGCTTCAGGGTTTCAGTGACTTTTACCTGACAAAACTGCGTGACTCCATAATAAGCAATTTGTATTTCGTTCACAGTTTAATATAGAACACGATAAATAGTTTTCTTGGCGTGAGACGTGGTTAGTGACTGTGAAGAAGTGATGGGATTGTGTTTGTGCTGGCTACGCAGACGGGCCCAATCGAAAGCTGCTTATTTTGACCTGGGTTCCCATATATGGTGTGTGACTGTCCCGAGATCCCTTTTCTCCGCTAAACAAAATGAAATCCTAGGTGCGTTTTCAGCTCGGGGTTGACTTGTAGCTTTGCAAACCGATCTGCTTTCCTGAAGTATTCCCAATGTACTTGCTGCAAAATAATGTCTCACTTACTGGGATGTAGTAGCCAGAAGATATTTCTCCTCTAGAAGTATTGCTTTCACATTCACAGATTAGTTAATTGAAGGTAAGGATATATTGGCAGTGAATAACCACAGGTTTTTGTAAAGAGAAAAAAAGTTCTGTTTCAATCTGTTTATACAGTATAAAGTTGGGGGGGTTGTTGATTTTTGGTTTTGTTTTGGTTTTTTAAAATTTGGTGCTTTAGACCTGGCGTGGTATTAAGACTTCTTTTTTGGTACTGCGAATCATTACGCTGTTTTCCTCATCATATGTGGATTATGCGCACTGAAAAACAGTGTAGAAAAATTAGTGTTACATGAAGTGAAAGATACTGTCTGCATAGTGGAAATGCTCTGGAGAATGCTGGTCAAATTTAGTTGCTATGTATGTTATAATGTTTTTTTAATGTAATGTATGTATTTTTGAAAGAGTTAGGGTTTTTTTTTTAAATTATGAGCAAGTAAAAGTTCTGTAATAGAAAAGCATCATAAACCCATTTCAGTTTAATGGCTTACTAATTAAATTACTTAATTACCTATTGATTGGTAAAAGCTAAGGTTACTTAATGCACAAATTTAACTCTATGCAACCATCTCTTCCTTCTTTGGAAACATTTTTACGGTCTGTAGGAACAGTCTTTATACCGTTTCAAATTTTAAAACTTTAGTAAGTGATTAGTAAGAATTAAAATACGAATTTGACTATATTTGCAATTGTTTTTAGGCATAGAGATATTTAATGGTTTAAGTGGTTTAAACCATTTTAAAAGTTCGAGATATTTTATTTAATAAATACCCTTAAATTGGAGAAGGCTAGCTTAAATAGTTTTAGCAGACCCTTTCTTTACAAGGTTGCAAGAATCTCAGATATTTGAGAACAAATCTGTTACATATCCAATCAAAACGGCATGTCCGGACGTGCACGCTGGTTGTATGCCTAAGAGCCTCTAGCAGTATCCCTATTTAGCTTCTCTCATTGATATAATGTTGGTGTAATTCCAGTTATTCTATTAGGACGGCTTTAGTTTAAACCCAGTTTACAAGAGGGGACGCGTCTCCGGACAATTCAACTTTCTAAATGAGGCGGGACCCGAGGGATTTTCAGGAGTTTTTCGGGGCTGAGGCCGAGGAAGGTGCGAGGGAGGGGGGCCCTGTCGGCCGGGCAGGGGGCGGAGGGGGCGGCCGGGGGCCAGGGCCGCGCACTTTCCGCGGCGGAGCGCGGCAGCCGCGGCTGCGCTTCGCCCGTGCGCGAAGGCTGACTTCAGACCGCTCAAGCCTCATTGCAGTTGTTGCTTTTAAACCAATAAGGCTGGGACAAGAGAATAGCTGCGGTTTGCATTACAAAAACAAAAACAAAACCCAAAGGGGAAAAGGAAAAAAAAAAAGAAAAAAAAATAAAAAACACAACGCCGCGCCATGGGAGGCGCGCCCGCCGCGCTCTGACCGCGGAGCTGCGCGCCCGCACCGTGAGTACCGGGGCACTGACAGCGGCCGCGGGGCAGGGACGGGCCAGCCGGGAGGACAGCACCGGGAATAAAGGGGGCGGCTGCCGCAGCCCGGCCGCCCGGGAGCGCGGGGTCCCGGAGGGGCAGCGGCGCTTTCCGCGCGCGCGGGAGCGGCGGCGTGCCCCCAGGCAGTGCCTGGGCAGACACACACGGCTGAGCAAACAGACGGCGGGGCTGCCGGCAGCCTCCCTCGGCCGCGCTTTGTCTGCCCGGCCCGGCCCGGCGCGGCCCGGCCCCACCCTGGCTGCTGAGCGGGGCGCGGCGCTTTCCGCGCGTTCCGCCGCTCCGGAGGAGAGCGGCGCTCAATTATAAATCACTGGGCGCAGCAGTTAATTTTGGCCGTAGTTCAGGCTGGGGTTTGTAGGCTTCCCGCAAAACAGATGTTGGGAGGTTCTGTCTATTGTGATCAGCCAGGTTTGGGGATTCTCCTGTTTGATTTCCTCGAGTGCTGCGGTTCGGCAGATAGGAGTAACGTGATGGGGAGATGTTAAATGGGGGGTGGAAATAGGCACGTACGGTACGAAACCAGCAGACCTTGTTGAAAGAGACATGAGAGCGTGAGAAAAATAATAGAAAAAATTGGGAGGAAGAATGCTTGACAGAGATTTTGACAGTGCTTTCTGAAGCAGGAAATCCTTTTGCTTAATATGTTTAAATTTTCCAAACACCAAGGAAAACATGCAGATCCCCACAGGAGAACTTTTCAGGATGACAGAATAAACATCTACACAACTGAAATATCTGACGTTTATTGACGTTTTAGGCGGCTTATTCAGAGCGGTGATCTTAGAACAAGGAAGTTAAAGACCTTCTGAAGTCTCGTTAAATTTACATCTTCCTTTTGAGCAACCAAGACCCACCAAATATTCTCTTGGTGTTTCAAACACCAAGAGGAAGGACTGCTCTTTACAGTGCAAGATTGATTCTGGAAAAATAAAGGTGTTAGTGCACTTAAAAATACTTCTTTGAAGGCGGCTGGGGTTTGGTGTGGTTTTCTTTCTTCTGTAAGCAAACATTCAAAACTGAGGTAAGCGGAAGAGATAAAAGCTTTCCGGGAAAAAAAATGATAGTGTGTTTCGTGTAGTTTGTTTAAATTTAAAAATGAGCACCGGGGGAAATTCGGAATAAGAAGTGGAAATGTGGTGTAGTGTATCATTGGAAGTTTTTAACGTTAGATACCACGTATAAAGATTATTTTATTTTCCAACCCATACTGAGATGGTTCACAAAGCATCTGCCAGAACGCAGACTACTGTTTTGAGGTGTCAAATAAATGAATAGTATTTATATGGATATGCATTGGTAAAAGTACATATACGTGTGTGTAAACGCATTACAGAATTTTAGGTGTATAAACACGTAAGCACATGGCATTTTCATGTTGCTCACAAACCTATGACATGCAGTTTCCAGCCAAGCACCTCACTGCTGTCAGAGTTTTCCCAAGGCCTGGAAGGGTCTGGAAATGAGCAGCCATCCCCTCTCAGCAGTTCTGCGCAGTGACAGACAGATTGAGTCATGCTTCACCTTAGGAGAAAAAAAGAATGAGTAATCATTTTGTTTGAATTGTAATAAGTATGAAATATTTCTCAGGAGCCAAAAAAATCTTGGAAAAGCAGAAAGACATTCTTAAATGGCTGGTCATAATAGAAGCATTGTCACATTGTAGTATTTCTTTCTTAAGGGGAAACAAAGTGTTGGGATTTCAAAATGTTTCATTCATGAGTGTATGAAATGAGCACACAGGATAGCACTTTAGAAGCATTTAAACTGGCAATTAAAAATTTAATAACTGCAATTACTTGCTTTTGCTTTAATAAGTACAATTTGTCTTTGATGAGAATATCTAATGAAAAAGCCCAACCACTTGGAGCCCAGCAATATATGATTATTGGAAGAGGGAAAATATTACCAAGTTTCCTGGGTTGCCAGCAAGGTGCCTTTCTGCAGCCAATTCGCATTTTAGTTTTGTAACATTTTGGCTGTTGAAGCCATTATGTCGGTAGATACCGACTGCGTTGTTCTTGTAGGGAGGTAAAGAGTGCTGTTGGGAAAAAAGTCCCTTTCCCTCCCTCCCTCCACCCCTTTCTAAAAATGACAGATTTTTTTTTTTTCCTAAGAAGGAACACCCTCGTTTGAAAACTGCCATTGTCTTTGAAATTTGCTTCTTTAAAGTAGAACTGTATTTTAAGAGAAAACGTGTGTGCTGGCTATAGTTTTCTGGGTTAAATTCTTATTTTCACTTTGAAAATTTCTTTTCAGCTGGAAAAATGTTTTAAATTATAGCCATTAAAAAAATTGCTCCTAGCAAGCAAAAATACTGTGGAAAACCTGTAATTTAGACAAGTACCTACATTTTATTTGCTCTGTGCTGCTGAAATTTAGAATCTCTTCCCATTTACAGTTTACTTTTCACAGAACATTATTAACTTTTTGGCTTCATACATGATCTTCTGTCAGATGCTTTTGATTTGTAATTTAGCAAAGTATAATAAACAGTGCAAAAGTCATGAATTTTCCTTTGCATCCTGAGCTCTGTGGTAGGGAAAATGTGATAAAATGTGTACCTTAAGTCTTGTTTGATGATCTCTCAAAGCAAGTTTGCCTTCTGGAAATAATTTCTGGGGTTGAAGAGCATGGTATTAACAGATTTAATGTGGCTATTCAGTGGATTGGTGGAGTACTATGTGAGGTTTAACAAAATGAGAGAGACAAATTGAACATCAACAAAACCTACATCTGTGAAGAATTATAAATTTAATTAGAAAAAAGGGCAAACTTAAAAGACCTCATTAACTAATCAGAATTTGATGTTACTGATTTAAGATTCTTAAATGGATGAATTTTAAGTAGCTTTGCTATCATTGTCCTTTTTTTCTCGCCATGTACTACATGGTGCCCAATCTGCAGTCTGTATTAAGGAGAAAGATGTGACTGTTACTGGCAAAAATCAAATTATACAGACTAATGTTTTTGAAGTATTAAGAAGAACGTGTATGCCATTTAGCCTATAAAGCATTTTTAGTTTAAGCAGAGCACTGAGTATGAAGGGGGTGTGACAGTTCCTTTTTTTTTTTTTTAATGTGATCCATTTCTGTCCAGATAAGGCCAAGCATTTGGGTTTTTTCCCCCCACTTTTTATTTGATATGTGAGTTATGTTGCCAAACTTCAATTACCCAGAAACCTGTTGACAAAATGGGAATATATGAGAGAAAGCACAAGCACACACCACCCAGAAATGTTTTTATTCTATGAATTAACTGCTCGTCATAAGTGTGGTTCCTTACTACGTTGTAATTTTGTACTGCACATAAAAAACTGAAAGCATGTGAAGTGTAGCATTTTGTAAACTGTAACTAATTTCAGTCACATCTGTGTCTAATTGTTGTCTGCATTCGCATTCTTGAGAGTAGATTTATTTTTCCTGGACCACTCTGTGGATTCAGCTGACCAGCCTAAGTGAGGATTAGTTGTTTTAAAGTTATTTTGATTAAAGAGTCATTTTTAAATTTGGTAACGTGCAACACATGGTTTAAATAATCCTTGAGACACAAAGGAATATATCTAAAGTATGTCTAATGAAAATGAAAATTGTGGATATGAACTTTCACAAATCATGGGGTGTTGGAGGACATTTAAGGTATATATTTAATTCACTGTGAATGAGCTGGTTATTTTTTTTTTGCCCTGTCCCACAAATGGATAAATGAGATCATTCTTGCTATGCATATACATGAACATGTATATATGTATATAATGGATATATTTTCAAATGTACAGAAGTTCCTATTTTTGTGAAAATTTGGTACTTAAAATAGTGAGGATCACATTTTTTTAAAGTTTGAATCAAGTATGAATAATTGTGTTGTGCATGTTGGAAAATATGGGTTAGTTAAAGCACCCATTTGAAAAAGGAAGTTTTTTTCTAGTACAAAAGATGGGTTTTATAAGATCCTGTGCAAGAAGGAGTGAAGATAGCTCTGTAGGCAAACTTAGTTCTCACCTATAATTTTTTCCAGGTGTTTAGAAGTAACAGCAGAAGCATATCCTAAGGCACTCTGCAGCAGTTTCTGGGGTAAAGAACTAAGGGGAAAAAAAATTCCTTACACCAAAATGCAGAGTTTTGACTCTATCTGCTAGCCTAGTTTGATTTGGCATGCAACGATGTATTGAAAAGCGTGTTATGCAGTACTTTAAGTACCCAGTTATAAAAAGATTGATGTTCTTCAGCATGCATTATTGCATGCTTCTTGACATCATTTGTAATGTTCTTCCTTGCCTGACTGCCCCTAGCAGTTGTTTACTCTTGCTAGTAGTAATTCTGTCTGTGATTAAAAATAACAAAAAACCCACCCTACAGACACATAAGTAGGATTTGCTCGGATGATTTTTATGGCACTTAAAATGCCTCATCTCCCTTGTCTTTGCTCTGTGATCATTTAAGAGATGTCAGTTCAGGTTGAATGGAAACGCACAAGAAAGATCCTCGCTGCAGACATTAAGAGGATATATACCTTGCCCAAAGAAGCTTTCGTGTGCTTTTGTGCTAACAGTGCCTAGGAGTGTATTTCCACCTGAATTTTATCACCTGCTGACAATTGTTACTGCCTAGAGTTTGTTTGTAAAGCAACAGAGTTTTTCTGATGGAATATGAAAACTATTACTCACCTGAGTTATAAAAAGGAATCATTTAATTAAACTAAAAAATTATTGGTGGGCTTTCCAGTGGAAAAAGATTCCTTTTCTTCATGAGCGACCTCAGCGGTAAATTCTACAGCTTCCTCCCATTTATTTAGCCAGAAGTATCCTTTTAACTAATTTTATCAGAAATCTCATTAGCAACTGGAATTTTTAGGAATAAGATGGAATATGCAATAACATGGAGTTTTTATTTTAATTTGACCTGGCTGGAGATGGGCTTCTTTTAGAGGTGTTCTGCAAGGCTGTGTGCTATATGGTGAAGGTCTTTACCATAGGTAGACTTGCCCTTTGTTATTCTCTATCCCTCCTCCCCAAAAAATAACATCATCATCTCCGGCTTGCCTTTGGGGTGAGCTTGACTTGTGGGTTCCCTGTGGCCCAGGCACGGGGGAAGGATGGCGAAGAGCAAAGGAAGAAGAAAACCAGTATGATGAGGGCAAGAATCTGCCAGGACCGCAGGAGAAAGGAGGGATGAGAAGGGCGAGAGGATGCTGAGGGCTCGGGCAGCAGCCGCGGGCGCTGCCCCGGGCGGGCGGCGCGGCGGGGTTACCTTTGCGGGCTGCAGGCAGAGCCGAGCCGAGCCGAGCCGAGCCGTGCCGGGGGAGGAGTGAGCCCCTGTGCAGCTGTCACGGGCCCCTGATGAATCACTATCCCGTCACTTGGCTGCCGTCCCCTGGCGCGGGGAGGAGGGAGAGACCTGCCGGGGAAACAACAGTTGAGCCTTCAATTTAAAGACAATATGCCTTTCAGGGGCACCGCACCCTCCTCCTCTCCCTTTGGATTTAAAGGACAGAATTGTCATCCGTAGTGTTATCCTTTCTTTAAATTAAGGCCTCGTAGTAAAGTGGAGTAATAGAAGCTTCTGTTTGTTTCCCTGGTTTGCAGGTGCAGAAGTCCCAAACGAGTTCAGATGTTGCTGTTTCCTCAAGCTGCAGGTAAGGATTTGACCAAAAAATGCTAATTTTTTGTGAGTCTTCTATTATTTTTTTTTAACTTCAAGTGATAAGCAAAATATTTATTCTTGTTTCTTACATTAAGCAGATGAGTAAGTGCTGGAGCGCAGCTTTTACGTCTGTGCAACCAAGTCTGTAAACCATGAGCACGTAACTTTTCCACTAAATTGTTTGAGTTTGTATTCGATGCAGGCATTTTGAACTCATTGCAGTATCATCTTCTTCTTTTTGTGTAGAATGTTTTAGGTTAAGAAATATTAAATGATCTATGTTTAGAATCTGTGATAAAATTTCAGTTAAAACGCAAAAGCTTCGTACCTGAAAAGACACTTAGAATATTTATACCCTTACTGCAGGAGTAATTTTATATATAATTTTAATAGTCTTTAAAAGAGCCTAAGCATTTCTTTTAAACTGAAAAATTACTAGTTCAAATGCCTTGGAGGCACAGTAACCTATGAAGTTTCTACTGGGAGCAATTACTTAGAATGAGTACGTCAAATAACGCTATCAAAAGTTTCAGCTATAAAGGAACAGAAGGATAGGGAACTTCAGTCATAAGCCCCAACACCAACCAAGAGATATGTCATGGTGGAGATGACTGTTAATATAGGGCTATTGAAAGCGCAAATCTTAAATATTCAGTTGCTTTTGTGCCGCTTAAACGTTTAATTTTTGCTTTAGCTGGGAATTGCTCTTTCCTCATTTTGACTAAGCGACAGCTGCTGAGGCACAGCAGAGTGCTCAGGCACACTAACGCCTGTATGGACTCACTGTACCTCGGTCAGATCCCTTTCCAATTGGGCACGCTTTATGTAATCCACAAAGCAAACAAGTGAGCAGACATAATAATGTTTTAATGCTGCATTTGTTTCAAAGGAAACAGAGGAACAATTAAGTAGTTTGCCAGAGTAAACACATACATCAGGAATATCTCATTCCCTGTCAGTAGATGATAGGTTTCCACAATTGCTTCAAGTGTTTTATTTGTTTTGGAAGTCCATTGTATTGCCACTGAGTGGTAAATCTTGAAAAAGCAGAGTGTTAATTTGTTTTTAAGAGAATATATGTCTTCACATGTTGGCGATTCCATCTTTGTACGTATTTTGAAAATGCGAGATTACACCAAATTTTAAAGTGCAGTGCTTGGAATCTAGATTTTATATAGTTACAAGCTGCAAAAATAATTAAAGAAGCTGGCCACACATGTTTGGGGCTACAACATGAGTTAAGCACTGGAGAAGATCAAGTTGGGAAAAGTAGCTGATTTTTTACTAAGTGTTTCTGGGATGTTGATAAATAGGCTGCATCTTATAAAGGCAGCTCCTCTGTAATTCATGTTGACTTATGTCACTAAAACGAGTTGCATCTTGTTTTCAGGTCTATGGAAATGCAGGATCTAGCCAGCCCACACAGACGACTAAGTGGTAGTAGTGAATCCCCCAGTGGTCCAAAACTTGATAACTCCCATATAAATAATAATTCCATGACACCCAATGGCACAGAAGGTGAGCCAGCTTTTTTTTTTCAGTGTTTCATAATTTGTTTATTCTCCTTTTTTGCTTTGGTGTTCTTACAGTCAGCAAGCTATATAATGTTTTACTATTTTAGGTGTTCCGTGTTTATTCATATGGTACATAAAGGCAATGTTCAATGTTTATCAGTAGTTACTATTATCAAGTTTCAGCAATAGCTTTCATTACAGGTTTATGTTTCTTTCATGGAGTTTGAGTGGACTGAGCAGGTAGTATGTGCAGAGCTTAAATTAAAAAAGGTCAAAAAACTGAAGTTTAATGATGAGAGAGAAGAAGTTAGTGTTTACAATTTCCATAGTACAAAATGTAATTTTTCAGTCTTTTTTTGCTATTTTGGTATTTCTTTATATTCTCACTTTCTGCAAGCTCCTAAGGCTATGAAAATTTTGTCAAGTAGGCTAATAAAACTGAGTGTTGAAAGTTCCTCAGGCTAGCTTGCTGCTCTGATGGAGTGGCCAAAATTCAAACAGGTGTAGTAATTCAATGGGGTAAACTGATACCTATTTCTCAAGAAGCAGTCAGGCAGTTGATAAGTTATGTTTGTTCTCAGTAGAATACTAACAACAGAACAACCTAACAGCTTTGCCAGTAATATAATACATCTATAATACATATAATAATACATGTAATGAAACACAGAAGAGTTTATGAAAGAAGCAGCAAAAAATGCTCTTTCCTGTAGCATTTCTGTGGCAATAATGGGAAAGATCATATGTGACATTTAACTAGTTGTGTGAACAGAGATTTAATGCATTACTAGAAGACAGAGTCATGCAGGGTCAGTGTTGCTATTCATATAAATGTATAGGTAAACTGCTACAACTGTTGTAGCAAATATATGAATTTTTTTTTCCTGAGAACTGGGTTGTAGTAATGCTGTCAAACTCTATAGGATTATGGACATGCATTTTTCCAGGAAAGGCACATGCCAATCAAACAGATGTTGTCCCCCACTCAATTCCCCACATATCTTTGTTATTCATTGTAATTGGAGTCCTTGATAGTGGGGACAGTTTATGGGTTATCAGATTAACAGGGACTTGTGCCAGACTTGTGTGTAATTTACTTTTTGCTATTGCTGTAAAAGTATTGCTTCGATCAAATATTAAGCTGTTAAAAAAAAAACCAAAACAAACAAACAAACAAAAAAAACACCCCACACCTATTTAAAGGATAAATAAAGTGCTTACTGTGCTCATGGAGTTTAAGCAGGAAAATATTTTATGTCCTTAAATGAATCTTCTTCCTTTAAAATAAACAAGTATGTTATTATATTTTTATATCATATTACCAGGTATGTAACACTTTTGGTACAGAATAAAATTGCCCTTTCAAATTAAAATTCCTCTACCTCACAGAAGTCTTCGTTGTAAACTTCATGAGCTTTTCTACCTTCTATATAATGTGAAGGTCCTTTTGTAGCAAAAAAAAAAAAAATAGGCAGTGTTCCTTGAAACGCTGAAAGATGTTCATCGTCTGACTTGACTTTTTGTTCGATGTGTAGGGCTGTGTGCATCCACTCTGAGAAATGCTTAATATACTTCATCAGAAAATGAGGTATATGTTGTATCTATTAATACACTGACCTCAGGTAGAAAATAATTTTGAAAGTAATATCTCAACTTCTAGGTAGGTATCAGTTTGTTGAAGGAAGTCAATTAAACCATGGTAACTTATTTGTCTGACACTAGCACTTTCCAGTTTAAAAGAATTTGGAGTGAATTCTGCCCAGAAAGCTCTAACTTGCAATAGATGTTTGCCTCCTGAGACGAAGCCAAACGGTTTTCTTTTGTCTGCCCTTTTCCCTCAGGTGACATGACCCTCCTCAGCACTGCAGACTGGCTGCTCAGCCCTAGCACACAGAGCCCCGCAGGTTTGGGTGCTGCAGTGGGCGCAGCAGGCGTGGGCACTCAGCATGCGATTGCGGATGTTGTTCCAAAAGTGTCCTGAGAGAAAGCTTGTGCTTGGCGGTTCTGCTCTCAGCTCTCTAATTTGAAAATTCCTGTCTCTGATTGCTCTTAAGTGACAAAGAAAGAAAAGTTTTTCAAGGAAACTAGTAGAATAATTTATTTCAGAATGAGATGTGTACCAAGAGACAAAATTTGTGAGTGAAGCAGATGCCTAAGAATCTGAAGGTGGAATTTTTACTGCTAATCTGTTTTATCTTGAGAAAATGTTTTGTTAGGCTCCTTGAGCTGCTAAAGAGACTTAAGAAGGAGTGGGGTGATTAAAGCAAAAGTTTCCTAATTTTTTTTAACAAAGGTTGAAGTAAAATTATTTTTTCTGGGATTCTTGAAGCAGAATCCTGCTGAGACAGGAGTGGCTGATTGTAAGGATCACCAAACTCTTTCTAGATGCTGCGATGTGGTTTGCTTGTTTGTTGCACATGGAGTGGAGATGTGGGTTGCTGAATCTTCACATGTCAAACATAATATGTGAAATCAGCTTCTACCATGCACACATTCTCACTAACGTGAGAGAACCCTCCTTCCCTAGCATAAGAGATCTTCATGTGACTGAGAAGAAGGGCCTCTAGGTATTTGCATGTTATAAATATCTTGTAAAGATATGTTAAATTTGATTTGACTATGGGTGTGATTTTGACAGGTTTCCATACCCTGAAGCACAGGATATGTTCACTAGATGAGGGGAAGGGAAGAAGAAAGAAGAAGGAAAAAAAATACCTGTCCCAAAGTGAAATGGCTGCATTTCAAACAAATGTTCATTAATTCCTCTAAGGCACATTTTCAGACTTGTCTTCTATTGATGTTTTTCTGCAGGACGATGTGGTTGGAAGATAGCTCACTTTGTTAGCCAATATTTTTAGCTTCACAACTAGCTGTAAGTTTTCAAAGCACTGAATGGGGATTTAGTTGTGTGATTGAGTCTGAATTTAATCTCTACATGCAGCTTATATATAATAACTCTTTGTGTGCTTAATTTCTATTTGAGAGAGCAAAATTCTTCTCTTGGCCAGGCAGCATGGTCTTCACTGATGAGGAAGTAACAAGGAAATTATAGACCTTGACCAGACTGAAATTTCCCAGGATCAAATGCAGAGGACTAAAATGTCTGGCTAAAGGCACTCAGAAAAATCAGGCCTAGTATGCCAAGGTGATGCTGACTATATAAATACTACAGTATTTGAGGTTTTCCTGTTCTCTTTAAGTGTATTTCCACAACATGCCCTCTATTGTAGAAAAGAGCAGGCGCTGGACACCATAAAAATTATGGCCTTGTATAACTTGCCTAAGAAAATCTCTTAAAAAAAATTACTGGAGTAGGGATCAAAATGTTCATAGTTTTGCCTTATCTCTAATCTTCCTTTGCCAGTGAATTGCCATGGTGGGTTGATACTGAAGGAGTTAAAGGAACAATAACAACAGAAGCTCATAAAATTGCCATTCATTAAGTTTTATCAGACAGCTGGTGGCTTTTCCAACACAGTGCCCACTTTGGTAGATACCCTTTAGAGGGGAAAGGCCGTGAGTAATCAGTAAACTTGAAAGGAGTAGGAAATCTGTTTTCCATGGCAGACAACTGCGTCCAGTTTCTGCCTACGGTGATCTTTACTTTTATCTTAAGAATGTAAATCAAATCTGATGGATGGCATAGAGTGAGAAACAGAAGCCTGTGGCCCATCATGATGATGTTTCATGCAACTGAAATGGAAAAGAATAGATGAGGATTGGGAGAAGGAGCTGTTATTTTCTGAGAAACTTCTCTTCATTTATTTAAGCAGTACAGACCTGCTACTTCCCTTTTATTTGAGTGTTCAAGAAGGAAGGAGGGAAGGCATTGTCATATCAAGTGGGAAGGGAAAATGGATAACAAATTGAAGATCAGATTTTCAAAGATACATAGGAAGGGAGGCTTCAAAGGGAGTTGGACATCAAAAATCCTTTGGAAAAAAATGATTCTCACTCTTTAAGTACCTGCTGCAACATGAGAATGAGATCTGACACAAAGGCAGTCAAAGCTCTCCACTATGAGACTATCTGATTTGTGGCCATTAAAAAGGTTGTTTTAAGTCTACTGAACATAAATCCATCTTCGGGGTTTCAAAAGGCAGCACTGTGTGGTATGTTTGCTGTCAAGTTGCAGTATTACAGAATGGAGAAAAAATTGTTTTCAGTATTTCCTAAAGTAATGGGGGAGTAAGATGTTAAAATCTATAGAGAGGGTAGAGCTGGTCATTTTTATGGCATGTGACGTAGATTTCTCTAAGTAAATTACGTTTATATAAATTATACTTCTTGAAATTCTAGCAATACTTTGTAGCACTCAAAATAGTCTTTCAGTATTGCAATTAAGCAATTCAGATTGGCAGTGAATGATTTTTAATTTATTCCTATTTTTTTACATTGTTTGGTTTTTTGTGTGCTTTGGGATGCAAAATTGTGGTAGGTGATGAGAATCAGACAAAATAATGCTTCTTTTGGTGATTCTGGTTGGATTCCAGTACCTTTTAATTACTCATGTTGGGAATTCCTGCTAATTTTGTATGCTGAAATTTCTATACTTGTGTTTGCACTGAGGAGCTTGATGGTATGAAACTTGTAATTGGTGCCTCTGTATTTAGACATCCTGAAATAATAGCATGCTAAAGGTAGATGTAATATTTGCTTTTTAGTAGGGTATTAGCATCAAGAGCGGTGGATGCTGACTTCTTTACTCATCCCAGAAGGGTGCAAGAGGACTGTTGTTGGGCCAGAGGCAAAAGCTGCAGGGGTCCTGGGCTCCCAAAAGCAAGCTAGGGGTCTGTAGATGCTAGTAAGAACCTTCCACCTGATGTCACTTCTGGAGGAAAAAAATCAGATACAGCTGATTTATGTGAAGGCAAGGGGCTGACTTGGACTATCCTTTCTTCCCCGCTTTCCACCTTTTTTTCCTTGCTGTATTACATTGGCTTCCTTCCAGACTCTTACCTGTGCTTTTATTCTCCTGCTTCATCAAGAGTCTTTCTGTCCTGAGCACATGTAGCATAATGCTCCATTATTCCTCTTTCATAGGCATTTGGCCAGTGAAATGACTTGTCCACTTCTCTGCTGACTCAGTTGAGCAATTCCTGTTGCAAGGTCTTGGGGAAGAGAGTGGATAATAAATATTTATTTACGTACGGTCTTTTCTATACGTATGTGCATCCATTTTTGAAAGAGTCTCTATTTCGGTTTCCTCCGTAAGTTTTTCCTGAAAGAAAGGACCTCCTTTAAGTGATAAATGAATAGCAGTACTGGTTCCCACAGGCATTTGAGGTAAACAAAATACTCCAAATGACAAATTACTTTAAAAAAAAAAAAAAAAAAAGGAAAATCTTAGAAGCGCCACTATTTTAATAGCATTTATTTTTGAAAGCTTCTCATATAAATGTTCACAACATATGCTGTTTCAGACAGTGGATGAAGTGTGCTAGTGTGAGAGTACCCTCTGAGTGTGTCCAAGGGCCCCAGAGTGGTTGTGCCCAGGCTGTGGGATTCAAGGACCTGTGAGGATGTCCACTTCTTTTCTGAAAACTAGCCCCAACACATCATTCTAGGGGTGGTGTCTTTCCAGTGGGAGCAGCCTGTTATGCACGTGTGTCTACAGCTGTGTGATTCCATACAAAAATGTCATGTGTCATTTGTCATATGCCTGGGCAGTAACACAGATGAGAAGGAAATCCAGCCCCAGCTGTCACTGTGCACCTGCAGAAGGAACAGAAGTAGAACATCTTAGTCAAACATCACACCTTAATAGGGTAGTATTTGAAGAGACTTAGCAATTTCAAATTTGTGGCTTGATGATGTAGCATTTGCATTTGCACCTTATAATCTTCTGATGGATTTTGCTTGTCCCAAGTAGATAAAAAAGCATGAAACGTGGTTACACTTTGGGGTTAGCCATGTCATTTGACTGCTGGTCAGTGAGTGAAGTACCTCTGTCACCAGATTTGATGAAATGAGCTCGGGAATTTGCTGCTGCAGGTGCTAGCTGGAGGGGAGCAGAAGCTAGCACTATCTCTCTTTGTCCAGGTGAATTTGGCTTTTAGTTTGTCCGTCCTGGAGTTCAGACACTGGCCAAATGTAGACCATATTATTTCCCCATTTATGAAAAGTCCCACCTACTTCGTCATTGTGCTTCTGTCTTCATGAGATAGTTATGTGTCTTGTACACCTAAATGGCAGAGCAGGCTTGACTTCTCCATGCTGCTCTCCTGTTCATTTGAAGATCTCCATGTTCCCAGACATAGTGAAGACAACCTGCTTTGCCCTCAATGGCTGGGCCTGTGATGTCTTGTGGTCATTTTGTCTGGCTTTAGTTAAAGAATATGAATACTGTTTGGGAAAGCTGCAAATTGTTAAACATGTGCATGGTCAGATTCCCAACTGAAAAGAGGAAAATAAAAAAGGAAGTAGAATAGTCCATGACACTTCTAAAAGGATTGGTTTTGGATATATGCTGCCTCCATTTGCAGGGGAGAGATACAAATATTTGGTATAATTGAACATGTGACTGTGAAGGGATAAGAACCTTAGTTTGACTCAGATACTCTCATCTCCCAGCTGCAGTGAATTTTAAGCCTAGACTGTACTTGTCAGATAAAAATCCAAGTTGAATCTTGCTTAGCAGCTACAAATACTGTCCACCTTTGTGTCTATCCAGATGTTTTTGAATTTTCTTTCTGGTTTTGCACTGTAGCAGTGACACCATTTCTTTGTAAATTTAAGGTTTTTACTGCTAGATGAGGAGGTACAAGGATGTTAAAGCTCTTTAATCTGAAATGCATACGATGAAGATGAGAGTCCTGGGGGTGTATGTGGTAAAACCTATGTGTTAACCACAGCGCAAATATTGGAGAAGTTTTGAAGCCTCTCATATCAGAGGAAGGGAAAG